AAATCAATCCCCCCCAAGAAAATAAGCCTCCTTCTCAGAAATAAAAGACCCTTCTTCTTTTATACGTCACATCCCCTTTCTTCCACATTTCCCTTCACCCCTAACTCTATACTTAATTCTTCACTTTAGTTACAGCTACAATAAAGTATAACTCACACCTAACATTCCTTCCCAACTCCCTCCCTTCATCCCAGTTACCACACAATTTCTCTCCTCTTCTTTAAATGCAAGCTCTTGAAGCCCCCTTCATACAAAATGAATTAATTGATAGGCAAACAGATCTGTCCTGGCCCTATTTCAGAGAGCTCACTCTCTTTACTTCACAGAAACCAAGTGAACTGAAGCTATACAATTTTATTCAATCATATTATATCATTCTCTCAGTATAATCTCATCAAAACTCAGTGGACCTCCTTCCAGCTTTCTCTTCAAACCCTAAACTCTCCCACCTTATCTGCTTCATTAACTTTCCACTCATTCTTCAAAGCTTAGTGCAGTTCCCTAGGGTAAGCTATTCCTCCACTGACCATATCCTTGGACACTGGATATAGCTTTTCTTCTATTTAGTTCTCCATCATTTTATCCATTAAACGACCAATGAAAGCTCTTATCACCCCTTGAGTGTTCATATTCCCACCTCCAGATTCCAGATTCTGAAGTCCTTAAGGACAGACAAGTCCCCAACTCTCTGTTTTAAGCACTGTAGCCCAATGCCTGAAAGACAATCAGTACTGAGATGTTAAACAAATCAGTTCGAAGAATCCTCTGAACAAAAAGCTCAGGGAAATCTTGGCCCTATTAGTATCATTGTTGTGTGTATCCTCCATACTTTCTCCCACCCATTTCTGCTCCTTTCTTGAATTATCTACAAGTATTCATTTAAAGCAATACTCTGGTGATATCTCGCCAGAGCTATTGTTCACTTACTAGAGGTCCAGTGCACAAATTCGTGCACAGGTGGGGTCCGGCCGGCCGACCCCAATGGGGGCCTATCAGGTCAGGCCGGCGAGGGGGAGGGGATGCAGGAGGTTGGGCAGGGCCAATTGGGGCCCCGATAGGGCCAGTTGGCCGCTACCATGCACGACGTAGCGACCGGTTGTTCCAGTTGTTCCAGTCTTTCTGGTCATTCCGTCGTTCTGGTCGCTTGGCTGTTATATATATGGATTGCCTGCAAAGCAACCTCACCACTCTACAACTCTCACCAGTTACAAAAGTTATCTATCTGGCTCAGTTTCTACTTTATTGTCTTTTACCAAGGTCTTCAGAGATTGCCATTTTGGGGGAACAATGATGAAAATTTCATAAAAGTTAAAACAATATTATGTCTTCTTTTAATATGCAAGAGATCAGAAGACACTGTACAGATGCTGAGAGTTTCCTTTTTGATTTTCCTCTACTGTCCAAATTTTCCTTACATAGGAAGAACTGAGAAATAGTACATTCCCAAAATTCTTTATGCAACCGGATAGAATCAGATTTTGCTGCTATTCTTGTGCATTAAAAGCAGGTTAGCAATGCTACATAAAACTAAAATTGACTTAAAATGGCCACTTAAGTACTTTATATACTATACCTGTGTTTTTTCCAACACATCTGCATGCTGAGGGGACTGAATAGGTGATTTGACAGAAGTTTCTTCAGTGCTTCTTGATGGTTTTACGATTCCAGAAATGGTCGGTGGAAATTGATACTGTTTGTATATGTATTCTGGCCTCTTATGATCTTGGTAGACTTTTAGCACTGGCTTCAGGGAACAAAGAAACATGTTAATCTTTTTAATATTAATGTGACCTTGTCTTATTCTTCACTATCTTTGGACTCTATCCCTGATGGAAATTGATTTCCTCCTGGGACTAATTTCCTGTCGAAACTACAATTATTGTAGCAGCTGCCACCATTGTCTATCCATAGACTATTGCTTGACTAGACTTGAGCTACTGTAGGAAGAAGCTTACGATCTTCCAACCTTGCCCAAAAGTCATTCATCACTTCCTATTGCCATAACTGACTGAAAATCTAAAAAATAAAATGGTGGCATTATCTAAGGCCCATCTCACTTCAAATTAAGGCAGGAAAAATCCAGCTTTTAAAAAAAAGTGAAGCCCAAAAGTCATTCATCACTTCCTATTGCCATAACTGACTGAAAATCTAAAAAATAAAATGGTGGCATTATCTAAGTAAATATAGCAAATGGCTGTTAAGTTTACATTTGGTTTTGGATAAAAATCCCTCAAGTCACTCACAGAAGAAAAGAAAAGACTAGCTGGTAATGAGAGTAAGAGGGTAGATCTCAGCTATATAACAATGAGGAAAGGAATAAGACCAGCATCATAGTTAAGAAGGGAGAGTGGGGGGTCCAAGATGGAGATGTAGGAAGTCTGTGAACTCACCTCCCACAGACACACAGATTAATGTATACCTTAAACACCTATGTATATAGCAACTTCTCCTGAAGAACAACTGAAGGTGGATTGAATAGTTTCTGCACATTAAATGAGAGAGGGACTACATACAGAAGGGGAGGAGCGATGGAGATGCAGTAACCATAGAAACCCTACCCCAGTTGGGCAACCTGCAGTAGGAAAGGATATCACCAGCAAACCCATGTGCAGACTCACCTGCCCTGGGGCACAGTAATAAAACAATGCCTTAAAGTGCACCTAGACTATACATGAAAAAACAAAAACTATTGACTAACCCCCCAAATGCCTGCCAAACGGGCGGGAAACTGCAGGAATTCCCCAGAATTGGAGGGGCCAGCAAGTGCCATTGCTACCTTCCCCCTCCACCTAGATAGCATGGGTGGGAGCTTAGTTCAAGTGCTTGGTACAGCCCGCAAGGCTGCCACAGCTTGCTCTGGGCCAACTTAGCAAAGCCCACCCCAGACCCAGCTACCTGCCCTGACGGGGTGCCCCTAAAGCCACAGGACCTGGACCACCTTTCCCCACGCTTGTTCCAAACCTGCCCAGCAGGTCTGCCTGGAAGTCCTGGGGCTGCATGTGGTGACCAATTCAGTCATGCCTTCCCCAGCTTTGGCCAGTCAGCCTGCCAGGGTGCCCTTGGCACTGCCTGGCTCCAGCCAGCCTGCCAAAGCTACCTAGTACATGCAGTCTACACAGTGGTTACTTTACACAAGGCCACTTTCATTTCATTCATAAAAACAAACACAGAAAGCCAAACAAAATGAGGAAACAAACTAATACGTTCCAAAGGAAAGAATAAGAAAAATGCCAGAGAAAAACACTAGTGATATGAAGATAAGTAATTTTCCTGATAGAGAATTCAACTTAATGAATTCATCTTAATGGCTGACTAGTTTTCCAGTGTGTGTGTGTGTGTGTGTGTGTGTGTGTGTGTGTGTACTCACATCTTTATCCCAATCATTTGTTGATGAATACTTGGGTTGTTTCCATGTCTTGGACATTTGTAAATAATGCTGCAATGAATATAGGAGTACAATATCTTTACAAATTAGTGTTTTTATATTTTTGGGTTAAATTCTCAGAAGAGGAATTACTAGATCATACAGCAGTTCTGTTCTGTACTTTTTCCATAGTGGCTGCACCAATTTACATTCTCACCAACTGTGTATCCTTTCTAACACACCCTTTCTAACACTTGCTATTTCTTGTCTTTTTTATGATAGCCATTTGACAGGTGTGGTAATATCTCACTGTGGTTTTGACTTTTATTTCCCTAATAACAAGTAATATTGAACATCTTTTCATATGTCTGTTTGCCATCTCTATGTCTTCCTTGGAAAAATATCTATTCAAATCCTTTGCCTTTTTTTAATCATATTTTTTTTCTCATTGTTTAGTTGTATTGGATATTAGCCCCTATTGGAAGTATCACTTGCAATAAGATAAAATATTGCCATTTGTGACAACACAGATGGATCCTGAGAGTACTATGTTAAGTGAAATAAATCAGATGAAAAAGAACAAAAGTCTTATGATTTTGCTCATATGTGGACTATAACATGAAAAGTAACAAGTAAACTAACAAAACCAAACTCATTCATCAATAGATACAGACAACAGAATGATTGTTACCAGAGAAGAAAAGGGTGTGGGAGGAGGTGAATTGGGTAAAGGAGATCAAATACATGTTAACAGAAGGAAACTAGAATTTGGGTGAATAGCATGCAGTAGAGTATACAGATATTGAATTATAGTGTCATATACCTGAAATTTATATGTTATTAACCAATGTTATGTCAATAACTTTAATTAAAAAAATTCAAACTAACTGTCATAAGGATGCTCACTGAACCTGGGAGAAGAATAGAGAATACAGTGAGAACTTTAACAAAGACTTATTATAGTAAAGAAAATATTAAAAGAACCAATCAGAGCTAAATAATACAATAACTGAAATAAACACCCACTAGAAGGAATCAACAATAATTAGATAATACAGAAGAATAGATTAGCAATCTTTAAGAGAGAATAGTGGAAATACCCTAATTAGAATAGAAAAAAGAATTTTTAAAAATGAGGATAGTTTAAGGGACCTCTGGGACAACATAAAGGAGTAGAGGAGTCCCAGAAAGTAGAGAGGGAAAGGGGCAGTAAACTTATTTGAAAATATAATGGCTCTAAACTTTCCTAACCTGGGGAAAGAAACAAACATCCAGGTACAGGAAGTACAGAGAGTTCCAAACAAGATAAACCCACAGAGACCCATACCAAAACATGTAGTAATGAAAATGGTAAAAGTTAAAGAGAGAATATTGAAGGCAGCAAGAGAAAAACAAATATCACATATAAGAGCAACCTCATAAGGTTATCAGTTAACTCCTCAGCAGAAACTCTGTAGGCCAGAGGGGAGTGGCAGAATATATTTAAAGTGCTGAAAGAAAAGAACATACAACTGAGAATACTCTACCTGGTAAGATTATCATTAAGAATTAGGGGACAGATAATCCCTGGACAAATAAAAACGAAAGAAGCTCATCATCACTAAATTGGCTTTATAAGGAATGTTCAAGAGTCTTATTTAAGGGCAAAAGGAAAGACAATAACCAGAAATAACAAAATATATGAAAGAAAAAAATCTCATTGGTAAAGGCAAATATATAGTAAACACAGTGACTCTTCCACTTAAAAAGCTAGTATGTCTTCACTGATACTGCTCCTAGGGCAATGGAAACTAAAGAGAAAATAAACAAATGGGACTACATCAAAATAAAAAGCTTCTGCACAGCAAAAGAAACCATCAACAAAACAACAAGAAAGCCCACTGCATGGGAGAACATATTTGCCAATGTTATATATGATAAGGGTTTAGTCTCCAACATCTACAGGGAACTCATACAACTAAACAAAAGGAAGATAAACAACCCAATCAAAAAATGGGCAATGGACCTAAATAGAAACTTTTCAAAAGAAGACAGAAGGAAGGCCAAAAGACATATGAAAACATGCTCAAAGTCACTAATCAACCAAAAGATGCAAATCAAAACAACAATGTGGTACCATCTCACACCTGTCAGAATGGCTATCATCAACAAATCAACAAACGACAAGTGCTGGAGAGGATGTGGAGAAAAAGGAACCCTCGTGCACTGCTGGTGGGAATGCAGACTGGTGCAGCCACTGTGGAGAACAGTATGGAGTTTCCTAAAAAAACTAAAAATGGAACTCCCATTTGACCCAGTTATCCCACTTCTAGGACTATACCCCAAGAAACCAGGAACACCAATTAGAAAGGATATATGCACCCCTATGTTAATAGCAGCACAATTCACCATAGCTAAGATTTGGAAACAGCCTAAGTGCCCATCAGTAGATGAGTGGATTAAAAAACTGTGGTCCATCTACACAATGGAATACTACGCTGAAGTAAAAAAGGAGTTCTTACCATTTGCAACAGCATGGATGGAACCAGAGAGCGTAATGCTAAGTGAAATAAGCCAGTCAGAGAAGGATAAATACCATATGATCTCACTCATTTGTGGAATATAATGAACAACATAAACTGATGAACAAGGACAGATCCAGAGACAGAGAGGCATCGATTGGACTTCGGGCCTCGAAGGGAAGGTAGGGGAGGGTGGGGGTAAGGGGGAGAGATCAACCAAAGGACTTATATGCAAGCATATAGGCCTAACCAATGGATACGGACAACAGGGGGGTGAGGGCATGAGTTGGGGAGATAGGGGTTAACATGGGGATAAAGACATATATGTAAAAACTTAATCAATAAAAAATAAAATAAAATAAAAAAGAAATAAGCAAAAAAGAAAATGAAAAAGAAAGTTGAGCAAACATCGATGGCAGGGTCCATGGTCTGGGGGACAGGCGTCCCCTTCCCCAACATGATAAGAGCCGATGGCATTTGAACCTTTGGATCAAATCTCAACCCAGATGACAGCCTTAAGCTTTGACAGCAGGAAATGTTCTTGTCTCTGCGCCTTTTCCTATGATGACTGAGTCCCATTCATTCATCCATCTGTTCGTTCTTTCACAAGCCTTTACTGGGCACCTACTGTGTGCTGGGCGAGGTGTCAGCACAGACGATCGAGTGGCAACAAGACCAGAGCCTCGGATAGTGGGACAGGCCTGTGCCCTCCTTCACAAAGAGTCTCAGTCATGACTTCGAGACACTTCCACACAACCATCCCGGACTGTAAAGGAAGACAGCCACCACAGAGTCTTGATCTGTTTGCTTTTGGGGCTCTGTTTTGGCATTTCTTCACTAAAAAATACAAATAAGCCAACAATATGAACCAAACTGGAA